CCCCCAAAATCCCCCCAAAATTCCCCCAAAATCCCCCCAAAAATCCCCCAAAATTCCCAAAAATCCACAAAAATCCCCCAAAATTCCCCAAAAATTCCCAAAAAATCCCCCAAAATTTACCAAAATTCCCAAAAATTCCCCAAAACCCCCCCAAAATCCCCAAAAACCCCCCAAAATCTCCCCAAAATTCCCCAAAACCCCCCAAAATCTCCCCAAAATTCCCCTCCCCAGGTGCTGACGGTGGCGGCCACGGAGCCCCTGACCCTGGAGCACTCCAGACCCCCCCAAAATTCCGGGACCCCCCAAAATTCCGGGACCCCCCAAAATTCCGGGGCCCCCCCGGAAGCTGGGAGGCCCCAAAACCCGGCCTGGAGCCCGAATGCCGGGAATTTGGAGGTGGATTTTGGGAGGATTTACGAATTCCTGGCCAGGATCGGAGCGGGGGGGGAGGGGCCCCCCCTGCCCCCCGCAGGTGAGAGGGGACCCCCAAATTTGGGGGGGGGGGGAGCCCCAAAAAATCGGGGAAAGTCCTGAAAAAATTGGGGAAAATTAAAAATAAAATTGGGGAAAATTCCAGAAAAAATTGGGGAAAATTGCTTTAAAAAATCTGGGAAAATTCAAAAAAAATTGGGGAAAATGAAAAAAAATCGGGGAAAATTAAAAAAAAAATTGGGGAAAATTCCCCCAAAAATTGGGGAAAATTCACAAAAAAATTGGGGAAAATTCACAAAAAAATTGGGGAAAATCCTAAAAATACTGAGGAAAATTAAAAAAAAATTGGGGAAAGTCCTGAAAAAATTGGGGAAAATTCCTAAAAAAATTGGGGAAAATTCCAGAAAAAATTGGGGAAAATTCCAGAAAAAATTGGGGAAAATTCCAGAAAAAATCTGGGAAAATTCCTTAAAAAAATCTGGGAAAATCCACAAAAAATTGGGGAAAATTAAAAAAAAAATCGGGGAAAATCCTGAAAAAATTGGGGGAAATTCCAGAAAAAATTGGGGAAAATTCCAGAAAAAATTCTGGGAAAATTCTGAAAAAATTGGGGAAAATTCCAGAAAAAATTGGGGAAAATTCCTTAAAAAAATTGGGGAAAATTCCCAAAAAAATTGGGGAAAATCACGAAAAAATTTGGCGGGGGGGATCCCCCAAAAAATTCCATTTTTAGGGTTCCCAGTTCCAAACTGGGAGGTTCTGGGTCCATTTGGGGATTCCCAGTTCAAACTGGGCTGGTCCCATTCCCAAACTGGGATGGTCCCAGTCCCAAACTGGGATTCCCAGTCCCAAATTTGGGGATTCTCAATCCCAAACTGGGATGGTCGCAGTTTAACTGGTCCAGTCCCAAACTGGGATTCTCAATCCCACACTGGTCCATTCCCAGTCTCAAACTGGGATTCCCAGTTTAACTGGTCCATTCCCAGTTTAACTGGTCCATTCCCAGTCCGAAACTGGGATTCCCAATCCCAAACTGGGATGGTCCCAGTCCCAAACTGGGATTCCCAGTTCAAACTGGGATTCCCAGTCCCAAATTTGGGGATTCCCAATCCCAAACTGGGATTCTCAATCCCAAACTGGGATGGTCCCAGTTCCAAACTGGGATTCCCCATCCCAAACTGGGATTCCCATTCCCAAACTGGGATGGTCCCAGTTCCAAACTGCTCCATTCCCAGTTCCAAACTGGGATTCCCAATCCCAAACTGGGATTGCCAATCCCAAACTGGGCTGGTCCCAGTCCCAAACTGGTCCATTCCCATTCCCAAACTGGTCCATTCCCAGTTTAACTGCTCCATTCCCAGTCCCAAACTGGGATTCCCAGTTCAAACTGGGATGGTCCCATTCCCAAACTGGGATGGTCCCAGTTTAACTGGTCCATTCCCAATCCCAAACTGGGATTCTCAATCCCAAACTGGTCCATTCCCAGTCCCAAACTGGGCTGGTCCCAGTTCAAACTGGTCCATTCCCAATCCCAAACTGGTCCATTCCCAGTCCCAAACTGGGATGGTCCCAGTTCAAACTGCTCCATTCCCAGTCCCAAACTGGGATTGCCATTCCCAAACTGGTCCATTCCCAATCCCAAACTGGGATTCCCAATCCTAAACTGGGATTCCCAGTTCCAAACTGGGATTCCCAATCCCAAACTGGGCTGGTCCCAGTCCCAAACTGGTCCATTCCCAGTCTAACTGGTTTCTCCCCTCCCCCGCAGAGTCCGCCGTGCTTTTGGCCCTGCTGGGATCGCTGCGGGCGCAGCTGGGAGCGCTGGGAGCACTGGGAGCACTGGGATCGCTCCGGAATCACTTCCGGGGGCTCTGGGGGTCCCTGCGGGGCCCCTGCCCCCCCCTCAACCCCTTCCTGCTGCCACTGGCCTTACTGGGAGCACTGGGACGGGGGGCCTGAGGGGGGGAGGGGCGCAATTCACGGGGGGTTTGGGGGGGAAAATCCCGGAGAGAATTCCTGGGAATCCTCGGGAAAATTCCTGAAAAAATTCCCAGAAAATTCCCCCGAAATTCCCAAGAATTCCAAAAAAATTACCAGAAAATTCCCAAAAATTCCCAAAAAATTCCCAAAAAAATTCCCAAGAAATTCCAAAAAAATTCCCAAAAAAATTCCCCCGAAATTCCCAAGAAATTCCAAAAAAATTCCCAAAAATTCTCCCAAAAATTCCCAAAAATTCCCCCAAAAATTCCCCCAAAAAATTCCCAAGGAATCCCCGAAATCCTGGGAATTCACCCCAGAAAAAATCCCGGGAAAATTCTGCCCCAGGGGGGGAGGGGAAATTTTTAAAGGGGATGCGGGGAATGCGGCGGTGAAAGGGTTAAAATTCCCCAAAAAAATTCCCAAAAAATTCCCCCAAAAATTCCAAAAAAATTCCCAAAATTCCCCCCAAAATTAAAAAAAAATTTCTCAAAAAATTCCAAAAAAATTCCCCCAAAAATTCCCAAAAAATTCCCAAATATTCTCCCAAAAATTCCCAAAAAAATTACCAAAAAAATCCCAAAAATTCCCCAAAATTTCCCCAAAATTCCCCCAAAAATCCCCAAAAATCCCCAAAAATTCACAGAAAAAATTCCCCAAAAAATTCCCCAAAAATTCCCAAAAATTCCCCCAAAAATTCAAAAAAAATCCCAAAAAAATTCCCCAAAAAATCCCAAAAAATTCCCCAAAATTTCCCCAAAATCCCCAAAAATCCCCAAAAATTCACAGAAAAAATTCCCCAAAAATTCCAAAAAAATTCCCAAAAATTCCCCCAAAAATTCCCCCAAAAAATTCCCAAGGAATCCCCGAAATCCTGGGAATTCACCCCAGAAAAAATCCCGGGAAAATTCTGCCCC